GGTTTTTTTTTTTTTTTTTTGAGATAGGGTCTCACAAACTATTTGCCCAGGCTGGCTTTGAACTGCAATTCTGTTGAACTCTGCCTCCTGTATAGCTAGGAATACAGGCATGACCACTGGTGCCCAAGAATCTTTCACTTTTTGATAATAACTATTCTAATTAGGGTGAGATGGTATCTTCTGGTAGTTTTGATTTACATTTCCCTGATAGCTAATGGTATTGAGCATTTTTTCCTATCAGGGAGAAGACAAAAGTTTCTACTTTCACCATTTTTATTCAATAGTATTAGACATTTTAGCCAGAGAAATTAGGCAAGAGAAAGAAATAAGAGACATACAAATAGTTAAAGTCAAATTATCCTTGTTTATAGATGATATGATTATGTACATAGAAAAACCTAGACTCTGCCAAAAGACTATTAGAATTGATAAATCAACTCAGTCTAGCAGCAGAATACAACACCAAACATCAGTAGCATTCCTATACACAACCAAATGAGAAAGAAATCATGGAAAAGAAAGAAATGCTGACCAAGAAATCATGGCAATCCCATTCATAATACACACATACACATACATACACCTTGGAAAAAATTAACTAATGAAGTGGAAGATCCCTTCAATGAAAATTATAAAACATTGGAGCAAGAATTTGAAGAAGACTCTAAAAGATGGAAAGACTCCCACATTCATAAATTGGAAGAATTAATATTGTTTAAAAGTCCATACTACCCAAAGCCATCTGCAGATTCAATGCCATCCTCATCAAAATGTCAATGATATTATTCATACAACTAGAAAAAAATATCCTACAGTCCATAAAGAAGCACAAAGGACCCTAAATAGTCAAAGCAACCTTGAGCAAAAATAATAAAGTTGTTATCACAATACCTGGTTTCAAGACACGCTACTGAACCATAGTAACAAAAAAAACAGCACAATATTAGTATAGAAATAGATGCATACACCAGTTGAGTAGACAAAAAACCCAGAAATAAATCATGCATCTACAGCCAACTAATTCTTTTTATTTATTTGATGGTATTAGGGTTTGAACTCAGCACCTTGCACTTGCTAGGCCACTGTTACACCATTTGAGCCACATCTCAAATCCATTTTGTTCTGGTTATTTTGGAGATGGGAGTCTCAAGAAGTATTTGCTCAGGCTGATCTTGAACCTTGATCCTCCAATTTCAGCCTCCCAAGTAGCTAGGATTACAGGTGTGAGGCACCAGCACCCAGTTCACCAACTGATTCTTGACAAATATGCCAAAAATGCACATTGGAGAAAAGACAGCCTTTTCAACAAGTGGTACTAGGAACACTGGTCATCCACAACTAAAAGACTGAAACTAGACTCCTATCTCACCCTATACAAAAACCAACTTAGAATGGATTAAAGATCTTTAAGATCTTTAATATAAGACCTGAAACTCTGAAATGAGAAACAGAAAATGGAAAACAGATAACTGATACAGGCTATGAATTCTCTGGCTAGCCCTCCAAAAGCACAAGAAACAAAAGCAAAAATTAACCAGTGGGATCAAATAAAATTAAAACACTTTGGACTACCAGGAGCTGGTGGCTCAAGCCTGTAATCCTAGCTACTCAGGAGGCAGAGATCAGGAGGACTGAGGTTCAAAGCCAGCGCAGGGATATAGTTCAGGAGACCCTATCTTGAAAAACTTTCACAAAAATAGGGCTGGTGGAGTGGTTCAAGGTGAAGGCCCTGAGTTCAAGCTCAAGTACCACAAAACAAAACAAAAAAACTTTGGACTGTGGAGTGGCTCAAGTGATAGAGCACCTGTCTAGCAAGTGTGAGGCCCTGAGTTCAAACTCCAGTATCATCACAAAAACAAAAGCTGCTCACAGCAAAGGAAACAACACGGTGAAGAGAAAATGGTGCAGCATGGGAGAAAATATTTGCCAGCTATTCATATGACAGCTATTCAGAATATATAAAGAACTAAAAAAGTAACACTTATCTAGCAAACACGAGGTCCTGGGTTCAATCTCCAGAACAACAAAGTAGGCTAAAACAAGTAATCCAATTTGAAAACGGGCAAATGTCTAAATAGACATTGCTCAAAAGAAGAAATACAAATAACCAATAAATGCATGAAAAATTCTTAGTATCATTAGCCATCAGGGAAAACGTTTTCTTGGGTGTTCTGAGTTGCCCACTTCACCTGTGGGGAGCAGAACACAAACCTGGAGGTCCCCGCCAGGGAGGTGACAGCCTGCGAATTAGGTATGAGTTATTAAGGCTTTCTGCGACGTTCCACACTGTTCCTGGGCTCTCAAGATTACAGCTCTTGGAAAGCGTGGATAGAGAAGGAATGCACCATTAGCCAAACATAGGAAGGGTGGAGCCGGGACGGCGGGAAGAAACAGGAAACTGAGATGGAGCTGGAGGGGGAGCGAGGGGTGGGGGCAAAGGCTAGGAGGCTGCGGCTCCAGGAGAAGGGGGCGGGATCCTGGAGCAGGTGGAGGCGGGAGGCAGGAGGGAACAGGAAGCTGAGATGGAGAGGGGGTGGACCGAGGGGCGGGGCCGGGCCTCGGAGGCTGTTGCTCCAAGGGGAGAGGGCGGGATCCTGCAGGGGGCGGGGTAGGGAGGCGGGAGGGAACCGGAAGCTGGTGTGGAGCAGGGGTGGAGAGAGGGGCGGGCCCAAGTTTTCGGAGGCGGTGGCTCCCAGGAGAGGGGGCGGAGTCCGGGAACATTGGGAGGCTGTGGAGGAGGGGCGAGGGAGGAGGCAGGAGAGAAGAGGGAAGAAGCTGGAGAAAAGGAAGAAGGAACCACGTCACCGGCTGTTTCCCGCCTGCGTCCGCCGCGGCCGCCCCCGCCCTCCGCCGTCTCCAGGACGCTGACTGGCGTCTTGGGCGGGCGGCTGGCGCAGGCCGTCTCACTCGAGTCTCCCAGCCGCGCTGTGCGCGTCCCCAGCCGTACCGGACCAGGGCGGAGGTAACAGCCTGCACACTCCCCACGACCCCCATGCGCCCTCCTGTTTTGCATGTCCGCGACCTCTCCAGTTCCCGCCACCTCCCGCCTCCGCACGGGCCCCGGTCCATTCCCGTTGCCGGGGATCCTGCCGGTCCTCCAGGTCCGGGCCTCCCGGCCTCGGCCTCCGCCGCAGGTCCCCCACCTCCCGTGCGGCCGCTGAGCCTTCCAGGGGATTCCCCAAGCACGCCTCACGGGGGTCCTTTGGGTGATGCCTGTCAGGTTGTCAGGGGGAAACGCCGTTTTTTGACCCTAGTTGGTTATAAATCGAGCACTGAAGGATGGAGGCGTTGTGCAAGACTCGTCAAAACTCGAATTACTCTCTTGAAATTGCATTCGCCGATTTCTTAAATAAAGGTACTCCCCCGCACCCCAGGCTTGGAAATTGCTCCTCCTAACAGGCTTGTGTGATTGAGTTTGATTTTGTTACGAGTTCTGCTTGTTTAGTGGTGTATGTCACCCGTCTAGGAGCAGTAGTGCGTTGAGGGGCGGTGCAGCAGAAGTACCTGCTGCACGCCAGGCGAGGTTGAAACGCCATCCTGCCTTCCACCCAGTCAGTCAGCAGGGCCAGTCCTCACATTTTCAAGGGTTGGGATCCTTTTGTCCTTTACACTATCCTTGCAGAACTTCAGTAGACATCTGGAGCACTGTCAAGAACTTACTACTTAAGTATCTACTGTGCCTCTCATATCTTGGAGAGAAATAACCAGAATATAACTGTAAAAGAATTATTGCACACCAAAATTGACATTAATTCAATTGGCATTAGCTTGTAGATAAGTCTGTTAGTCACTGGTGGAACCTAATGATTCATATTGAGTCAGGTTCAGTTTTCTCTAATTGTCTTTTTTAATAATTTCACATTTACAAAAATGTTGCAAGAAAAATGTTACTTTCCACCTACATCTTTACCTAGATTAACTAGTTTGTTTTGCCCATACTTTGTCCTTCTGTTTATACGTGTGTATGCATACACTACTGAGGAACTATCAAGTTTTTTTTTTTGAAGCCAGAGCATTGCACATGCTGGGCAAGTGGTGCTCTAGTACTGAGCTACAGTCCCCCACCCCCACCCTAGAAACTATTAACTTTTTTTTGTGGTGGTACTGGGATTTGAATCAGGGCCTCATGCATGCTAGGTAGGCATTCTACCACTTGAGTCATTCCACCAGCCCAGGAACTGTTAACCTTTTAGAAATATTTTTTCCTAAATTATTCGGCAGTAGGTTGCATATGTCATGCATTTATGTATTCCCTCTTATACTCAGTACAGTATGTATTTCCTAAGATCAATGATATTCTTTTACATGAGTAATTATCAAATCCAGGGAATTTGGCATTGACACATTAGTTTTATTTATGCTATAGTTTGTAGTTTATCAATTGTGATAATTTTATTTTTATTTATATTTTTTAAGACAAGGTCTTCCTTTGTGTCCCAGGCTGGCCTCCCAGTTCTCCTTCCTCCACTTCCTGAATACTGGGATTATATGCATGTCCTACCACACTTGGCTTGCAGTAATGTTCTTCATAGCAAGTTTTCTTTTTTGGTACAGGATACAAGGCATTTACTTGCCTTGTATAGTCAGCCATCTTTAATTTGGAACAACCTCTGAGGCTTTGTTTCTCATGACACTGACTTTTAAGGAGGTAATAGCCCTTTGTTTGATAATGTTTTCCTCAAATTGAGTTTATTTCTTCATGAACTGTCTGTATTTTTGGACTGATATCTATATAAGTAATGTTATGTCCTTTCCAAAAATCACATTCAGAAGGCTGTGATGTCTGCCTTTTAGGCTGTTTTCTCTTCTCACTATATTGCTAGGGTCTTTTTTTTTTTCAAATTATTAAGTGATTTGTAGGGAGATACTTGTAGACTTTGTAAATATCCTGTTCCTTCATCTCATTTCTCCCTTTTTCTCTGCTTGATGTAGCACCCATTGATGATTTTTGCTGGATTCAGTTTATGGTTGCAAAATAGTAACTTTCCATATCTACCACTATGTTCTTTATTTAATAGGCTGTAATATATTGTTTATTTATTTTGATAAATTGTCTCAGATTTGGCCCTTGAAGTTGTCCCTTTTTCTTTCCTCTTTTTTTTTTTTTTTTTCCTTTTGTGGTGGTATGGGGTTTGAACTCAGGAACTTGTGCTTGCTTGGCAGTCACTCTACCATTTGAGCTACAACCCCAACCTGGTCTGAACTTTTGTCCAGGGGCCAGCCTTGGACTCTGATTACCTTCCATCTCAGCTTTCCTGCATAACTGTAATTACAAGCATACACCACCATTTCTTTCTAACATGCCCCTATCATGTGTTCACTTCCTTAATTTAGAACAAAATGTTCCAGGTTCATTTGGTTCCTTCCCTAGATAGCCTTGAATTCAGTTACTTTTTAAAGGAGCTCTTGTTCCTCTTAGGAATAGTAATTGAAAACCAAGATTCAGGTGTTAGGTATGACTATTGATGTTGAGTGTCATTACCTCTAGGCTCTTTCAGTGTGCAGAGTAGCTAGGGCTTGTGAATTTTTATACTAATCTCCACTTCTAATTCAGCCCCATCAGGGCTCTTCCTAACATTTCTCTATCCTAAAACTGTGCCCTTCCAGAGTGAAGAATGTTAGCTCCCATTAACTTTAGTCTATGCACTCATCTACTCAGTCCTGCAATGTATTTAGTTATAAGTAACATTCCCCGCCCCCCCCTTGTTTTTTTGGCAGTACTGGGGTTCGAACTCAGGATTTTGAGCTTGCAAGGCAGGTGCTCTACTGCTTTAACCACACCTCCAGTACCTCACCTCCCTTTAAAAATTGCCATTTATGCTGTAATTCTAGGGTGGTGGTTTGAGCTCAGCCAGGGCAAATAGTTCGAGACCCTATCTTGAAAATTCCCAACTCAAAAAAGGGCTGGCGGAGTGGTTCAAGTGGTAATGCTCTTGCCTAGCAAGTGGGAGGCCCTGAATTCAAACTCCAGTACTGCCAAAAAACATTGCCATTTATTTGTTGAAGAAACTATATTATTCTGTAGAATTTCTTCTTAGTTTGGTTGGTTACATTCTTCTGGTGTGTTTAAAATGTCCTTTCATTGTCTTTATTTCCTATAAAGTGATTAGATTTAGATCAGGAATGTTTAATTTCTTTTATCTTTATAAGAATATTTTATAGGTGGTTCAATGTATTTCCTATCTGTATGCCATCATATCAAGAGGAATCTAATTTCTCTTTGTCTCACCGTTAGCAATTTTAAGATTAATCAGTGGGTTTAGGGCATGTCAATGCATTTGTTATAAAGTTCCCAGCCCGTCTATTTTGACCTAATCATTTTTGTAACCCCTGACACTTTTGACTGGGTCTGTAATTTCATTAGTTGCTGCAGATGATGCTTTTCTAATGCTGGCATTCCTTTTTCATTTGGTTAACTCTTTAAAATAATTTATATGTAATTAAAAAAAAATTATATTTTGGAGGTTAGGGATTGAACCCAAGGCTTCATATATGCTAGGTAAGCACACCACCACTGAGTCCAGCCCCAGCCCTGTAATTTTTATATTTAAATTCTATATTTATATGCATAATGTCTAAGAGAGTAGTCATCCAGACTCAGGATTCTGAACAATTAAAAACATAATGCTATAGCTCAGCAGTATAGCATGTCCTTAGCATACATAAGGATTTGTTCTCCAGCACCACCAAAAAGAAAAGAAAGAAAGAAAATACATAATGTTATGCATAAAATATGAGAATAGTTAGCATCTTAATAGATTTTTGGGTGCTATACTTGAATAGCTTTTTTTTTCAGTACTGAGGTTAAAACCAGGGCCTCACATATGTTAGACAAATGCTATACTACTGAGCTACACCCCATCCCAGTAGTTTCCTTTTTTAACCTTATATTATTAAAAAAAGATTCAGCTTTTTTCTTGTTAAAGATAGGATTAATAATGCCAAGTAAATTCTTTGGATTTTGTAGACCAAATAGAATTAGGAAGCTAGAACTTTAAAAAAAAATGATATGATTGAATACAGTTCAGGCCAGTAACCAAATGCCATCACTGTTCAAGATTTCTTTTTTTTTTTTGACGGTGCTGGTTTTTGAACTCAGGGCCTCATGTTTGCTAGGCAGGATCTCTGCCACTTGAACCATACCTCCAACCCCAAGATTTCAATTTTTATTAACATGAATTAGTCTCAAACTTACAGAAAATTAGATATTGCAAATGTAGTACAAAGAACTTTTGTCATGAATTTTTTGAGTAAGTGACAGACTGATGTTCCTTATCCCTGAATATTTTAGTGTGATTGTCTATAAACAAGGGCATTCTTCTTCCTGACTGCAGGATGACTAGTAAAATGAGAAAACTAACATAAATCAATCTCTTCCTGTTCATGATTTTCCAGTTGTCACATACTGCCTTTTTATAACATAATAGTAAAGTTTATAATTACTCATTGCATTTAGTTGTCTGGTCTAATATTTAAGGACCAATTCCCCAGTCTCTTCTTGCCTTTTTAAAATTTATTTTTATTTTTTAATTATCATGTTATTGTTTTACTGGGGGTACATTGCAACATTTATCAAAGTTCTTACACTGTATCATGGTTAAATTCACCCCCTCCATCATTCTTTTATTACCCCTCCTCTCATTTCTGGAATTGTTTCAGCAGGTCTCATTTTTCAATTTTCCTACGTGAGAACATAATATACACCTTTTTTTTTTTTTTCCTACTGGGATTGGGGTTTGAACTCAGGGCTTTATACTTGTAGTCACTCTACCGCTTGAGCCACACCTCCTGTCCATTTTGCTCTGTTTATTTTAGAGATGGGGGGGTCTCACAAGCTATTTGCCTGGGCTGGCATCTGGCAAAATTCCCTTTCATTAATGACTTTTGTGTCCTCTCCATGCTTCACCTCCAGCACACCATGCTGAATTGTCCCCACTACATGATCATCCTCCCAAAGGTCCTCTAATATGGGCCATTTCCCAGACTATGCTCCTCTCACCCTTCCTGGGCTGTTCCACATGCCCACTATGGCCCCCACCTGAGTATCCTCTTTACTCTGCTTGGGCTGTAACAACAACTAGCCCTCACACCCAGTGTAGGGCCTTGCCAGAAATCTCTTGCTTCATGCTATTTCAGGGTTTCAGGGCAGTGAGACTGGTTACATGGTGATTGGGGCTTTATGAGTGGTTATTCCACGGAGAAAGGTAGAAAGACAACTGTATTGTCTTTCATGATTTAGTTTTGGAAAATGCATAGCATTACTTCTGTTGTACTCTCTTGGTTAAAATAGTCCCAAAATCTGGCCCAAAATCAAGGGAGGACTCAGAGACCGTAAGATGTTGCCATCTTTGCAAAACACAATCTGCCACACTGAGAAACGACTCACATAGAAACTTGATCAAGGGGGGTGATGGGGGAGGTGGCACAAACTATATATACACATGTAAGTAAATGTAAAAACAATAAAAGGAGAAAAGAAAAAGAAACTTGATCAAAATTCTTCCTAGTTTGTGTTTATCTTCATTGTCCAAGAAGTAACTTGTAAAGAAAGCAAATACATTTTGCCTGAGGATGTGAGAGTGTAAGATAATGAATGCATTGTCAACTTCTTACCTTCAAAAGAGTTAGCTGGAGCTATTGAAAGTCATTATCAAAAACTTCATGGAAATTCTAAATTAAGATGTTCTGTAAATGGTATGAGCTATTTATTATTACTGCTATTGTTTACAGCATCTTGTAACTAGATTTGCTTAATTGGTCTTCAGTATCTTAAAAAGCATGGAGATAAGATTAGAAATCTTGACATCAACAAGTATCAAGCAGAAAAAACCCTGGCCAAGAGTTTCCTGGTTAGGACAGGTGAGTTTTTCTTTATTCATACTAGTTTATACATGCTAAATATGTGTTTTTCCTATATAAGAATGTTTTATATACTAAAGAATAAAACATCTTCAGAGAGATCACTTGACTCCTGAACAGAGTTTTGGTGTATTTTGTTTTAATTATAATGAAGTAACTTCTCCAGAAAGTTAAGTGGTCTAAAAGAGAGTAGGTTTTTTTTTGGTGATACTAGAGTTTGAACTCAGGGTCTCGCACTTGGTAGGCTGGTGCTCTACCAAAATTTCTGTTCTTCATATTATGTCTAAGTATGTTATGATGGTTTATATCAAAGGGAATTTTAATCTCCATATCAAAAGGGAACGCTTAATCTCTTAAACAATTTCTACTGGAAGTCAGTGGAATGTTTCCACCTGTTGTGATTTTCATGAGTGTGTTATAAAGTATCCTCAGACTATGACAGAGGAGACACAAATAATTCAGGAATGCCATTCAAAAATATTTGGGATGGATTCCTCACCTTAGAGAAAGTGGGTAAACCTATGAAATCCTCTTAGAATTTATAATGATTATTGAGGTAAATGAAGTTATTACATCACTAACTTCCCTGGAACAGAAGTTCTCAAACTTTTACATGCCTCAGAATCATCTGTACAGGTTTGTTAAAACACATTGCTGAGCCACACAGCCAAAGTTTCCAACTCTGCAGGTGTGGGCAGGGTTGGGTGATTTGCATTTCTAATATGTTCCCAGGTACAACTGTTAGTGCTGCTGCTGCTGGCTTTTCTGCTCCTGAACATATGAAAACAAGGTTCATTTAAAACTTGTCTCCTTTTTCTAGACCAAAAATCATCAGAATCAAGGGTTTATGAATTTGAGAAGCCATATCCATTTTAAGTAAATAATGTAAAAATTTGTCCATGTTCACATCAACAAGTGATTAAACAGCAAATAACCAAGTTTTGGCTAGCTGAATTGGAAGACAATCTTAAGATGTTAAACTTCAAAGAAATTTAAATGTAATTATTAGGCCAATTTACCTAGTAATTCTTAGGAGTTTTTTTCCCCCCTCCCCCTTGGTACTGGGGTTTGAACCCTGGGCCTTCACATTGAGCCACTCCACCAGCCCTATTTTTGTGAAGGGTTTTCAAGATAGGGTCTCATGAACTATGTGCCTGGGCTGGCTTCAAATCACAATCCTCCTGATCTCTGCCTCCTGAGTAGCTAGGATTACATAATCCTCTTGATCTCTGCCTCCTGAGTAATGAGAATTACAGGTGTGAGCCACTGACACCCAGCCTAAGGAAGTATTTTATTATTTATTTATTTTCATGATGTTAGGGATAGAGCCCAGGGCCTTAAATATGCTGGGCAAGCACTATACCACTGAGCTACACCTCCAGCCCAAGAGGTATTTTAAAGTAGAATGAAAAATCTTTGTGGTCCAAGTTTTAATCTTTGTTACTTTGTTTTAAAAAAGTGTTACTTTGTGTTCCTTTCTAGGATAGTTTATGTAGATAAGAGGTTGTATTAATTTCTGGAATCACTTAAGCCCTTCGCATATTTTGTCTCTTAGGAAAATGAAGCTGTTTTTCTTTTGGGTGATAAATTTATAAATGAAATTAATCTGGTATCAGGAAGAACAAAGAAGATTTCTAGTCTACAGCCTTTGTTGAAGGATGTTTTTGTTCTGACAACGTCCAGTAATGGTTAAGTAGTACTGATATTTTCAAAAAGGCTATAGATTGACATGCTTTTGAATATTTTAAGGTGGTAAGAGAAATAACTGGGTTATGAATTGCATTTCATTTTTGAACAGATGCCTGGCTGGCTGGGGTACTCACTACAGGGGAGCTTTTCCTTTGGAACAAAGATCAAGATTGCTTGAAAACTATACAAGTAACTGAAAAGCCTAAAGAAATGATTAAAGCTACAGTAGGTGGGAATTTTTGTTTACATTGGTTTAACTGGGAAAAATAGAAGGAAAAGAGGATGAAATATTCTCCTTTAACTATTTTGAAAATATGTCTTTGTATATATGCAGATGTATATCTGAATATGTATTTCTGTATATATTTACGTTTTAAATTTTTTGGTGGTGTATCTGTGATACCTAGATTCAACAAGAAGGAAAGTCTGGAATTACTGTAATAACAATGGCTTTCTAATGTTATTATTTGTACTTTTATTGTTAGTGCCTTAGTTTTGTCATCCTGAATGGTAACATAATTTGGGTTTCTTATTGCAAAAATAGTTAATATGTGCTTTCTTCAGAAAATTCAGACATCAGAGGTTTAATTCGTTTTGTTTTGTTTTTTAATTAGCAAGCTCTTCAAGACTATACATGTCTGTATCTGAAAATGGGAAAAGAGTCCTGTTGATAACACTTTCTGGATGCATATTTCTCTGGGAGTATTTGGAGTCAAAGAATAACTTCTTTTCAAAAAGCCTTTCATTGGTGGGTCAGTGGTCCCAGATCATACCTGAAGAAGCAGTTCTTTTGCCTTCCATTGAAGATAAAGAAGCTGTAGTGAATGCGGTTTTTATTAAAAATGAGGTAAAATCTAAATGAGAGAGGATGTGGCAGAAGATGATATCTCGGGCTTTAAGAACTAACCCTGTCTTGGAAGCTGTCTGTATAGCTGAGGGTAGAAGGGCATAATTATATTGTGTCACTGTTAACTGTCATAATAATTATTTTAGGGTTAATGATATTTTTCCGTTTCTTGGATCACATGTAAAAAATGTTAATTAAAAGTGTTTTGAAATTAGAACCTCCTTTTCCCTAGCAAAAACAGCTTGTTGCTGGCAGAGTGGTTTAAGTGGTAGAGTGCTTGCCTAGCAAGTGTGAGGCCCTGAGTTCAAACCCCAGGACGATCAAAACTGAATGAATGAATGAATGAGTGAATGAACGAACAAGTAAACAGAACAAATGTTTTGTAATATACTAAGCAAGAACTGGTAATTATTAAATAAATCATTTAATTCCCAGGAAATAGTAGATTTATGAACTAAAAATGTTTAAAATAACTGGTATTCTGTATGAACCAATATCTACTACCTAATCTACTTTTGTTAGAAATTGCATTTTGAAGTTTTATTGCTCTGTGCATTGGGGTGGTGCTCTAATATGAACAGTATAAAAGTATGAAAGATACATAGCTCCAGTATAGCCACAATAAATGGTAGGATTTTGCTTTTTTAAGTTTTGTTCTTGTTGAGACATAATATTTGTACACCTTTATGGGGTACATTATGGTAATTCAATAAACATTTCCATCTCTTCAATCATTAATGATTTTTTGTGTTTGTAATTTCATACTCTTCTAGTCATTTTGAAATATAGATGATTTCAATCAGTTGTTACTGAGCTGTTCTACAGAAAAATGAGAACTCCTCTGACTGTGTTTGAATGCCCCTTATTGAACTTCTGAAGAACATAAACTGTAGTCTGAGGGGTTTTGGGTACAGTACTGTGGGAGGGCACAGCTTAGTCTGCTCCAAGTACCAGGAAAACAATCTGCAACCTGATTTTCCATTTGGGACTGCCTGCGACTCAGAAAAAAAATCAGTCTTTATGGTAATACTGGGGTTTGAACTCAAAGTCTCACCCTTGCCAGTCTTGCTAGGCAGGCTCTCTACCACTTGAGCCACTCCACCTCACTTAGTCTTTAGCATAATATTAAAAATAAAAATTCAAGCAAGGTCCCAATATTTTTCATTTATTTTTATTTATGATGAGAAACATATTTGTATGTTTTTGTATCTTGATTTATTTTTAAATTAATTTTGTACTTAAATATATATTAAATTTGTCTACAGTTATTTGGAGACTGCTGCTTGTGTTCGTTTACTTTTTATTCTGGGGAATGCCTGAAGTTAGCATTTTTAGCAATTTGGTGGCATGAGAATGTATTTACACCTATAAGGTAAGGGAAATGTTTCCTTTTTACTTATTTTCTATTCCTTTTAAAACATTATCAAGCCTGGCATGGTAGTATATGCCTGTAATTCCAGTATTCAGGGGCAAGAGGATAGAAAGTTAAGTTCAGCCTAGACTACATACTGGGTTTGAGACTAGCCTGGGCTATAGCAAACTGTTTTAAAACTAAAAATTATTGTCTTTTGACTTGTATGTACTTTACAGTTTTTAAATCTGAATTTCAATTTTGGAGGCTCCATAGATCCTTTCTTTCTACCTTTATTTCTAAATGTTTAATCTAGAAAGTTTTTCTTGTTTTTGTTTTATTTCCAAGAACAGAAATAAAACAAAACCAATTCTTGGAAGTGAGAACGTGTAAAAGTTAAGACAGGCTGTGGTTTTGCTTGTAACTACTTTGGAAAATTAATTAAAATTTTCAAAGGGCATAACTGTTTGAATTTACCAGTATACATTTAAATTTTTTTTTTTTTTTGGTGGTACTGGGGTTTGAACTCAGGGCCTTAGTGCTAGCTAGATAGGTGCTCTACCACTTGAGCCACTCTGCCAGCCCCATTTTAAATGTTGAAGTACTTTTTATTTCTTTTTTTTGTAGCTGAACTAGAGTTTGAACTCAGGGCTTTACACTTGCTAGGCAGACATTCTATCACTTGAGCCACTCCACCAGCCCCTGAAGTGCTTTCTATATTAAAGTAATTTTGTTTATTCTAAAAAGCTCAGTAAAATAGGAATAATATGTTAAAAGCATATAATGCCTAAGATTTAGTAAAACGATGTGATTTTAAAGAGTTTTTTTATGCTAGTAGTACTTTATTAAGATAATTTACATAAGGTAGAATAAAAAAATATTTTTTCTTGCTTTTGGAGACAGGGTATTGTTATATAGCCCAGGTTAAACTCTCAGTCCTCCTACCTCAGCCACTTGTGTGAAAATGAACAAATCTTAAATGTGCATGTAGGAAGAATTTTATAAATATATATATGCCTATGTGTAATTATCACTCAGATCAAATGTAGAAAATTGGCACCACCCAAAGAATTTCCTCTTTTCTATATTTAAGATTTTTTTTATTACTGTATATTAACTGTACAAAATAACGGGATTCTTTCTTTCTTTATTTTTTGCAGTGCTAGAGGTTGAACCCAGGACCTTGCCTATACTAGGCAAATACTCTACCACTGAACTATATCCCAAGCCCACAAAATAATGTGCTTCATTATGACATTTTCATATAGATATATAATGTACTTTGATCATATTCTTCTCCCTATTATCCTCACTTATCCCCTTTCTCTACTTTTTTTTGGTGGGGGGCAATACTGGCATGAACACAAAGCTTCATGCTTTTGAAGCAGGCACTCTACCACTAGAATCACACCTCCAGAAAAGAACTTTATGAGGATGAAATTTACTTATGGTAAAATCCACCCCCACTTTTTTGGGGGGTAGTTCTGGGGTATCTCCAGGACCTTGTGCTTGTTAGGCAGCTTACCACTTGAGTCATGCCTCCAGCCCTCTACTTTTTTACGTCCTGTAAAAATGTTTGCTATCGTGCAAAAATATTTGTATCTAAATATTTAGTTGAAGCAAATGTATTTGAGATTGACCGTGGAACATGGCTCTACTAATAAAACTCTGATATTGAGCTAGATTGACTGATAGCTTCTCTTTTGTGAGCTGGATGAACTTTTAAAAGGTCTCTAAAAGGCCCATAATTGTATGTACATTTGTAGGAATTTAGGTTAATCTATAATTTTTTTTTGTAATGAACTGTATATTAACTTCAAAATTACTATATGAGTTGAGCACGGTGGCTCATGCCTGTAGTCCCAGATACTTAGGAGGTTGAGGCAGGGCAGTTGCTTGAACCCAGGAGTTCAAGGCCAGCTTGGACAAAATAACAAGACCTCATCTTAAAAAAAAGCAAAAATAGATCAGTAAATAAAATCACAGTACTTCCTGTTTTTAAATATTTCATTACTTTCTTAGGTTATTGCCATTTCATGTTCACTGGTCACAACAGGACTGTCTTCTGTGTAGTCTAATTCCCAAATGTGAATCAGTAAAGTCAAGAGGAGCTCTGATTTCTGCCTTTTCAAGAGATGGTCTTACCCTGGCAGTAACTCTTAATCAGAAAGACCCAAAGGTCAGTAAATATAATCTATCTTGGAAAGTAATCTTTGAAAGGAGTTGACTACAGTTTTGAGATTTGTTTTCCTTGAAGATAGGTTTTATTATTTTGTTTTATTTTGGGTGGTACTAGGTTTTGAACTCAGGGCCTTGTGTTTGCTAGGTAGGCACCTTTTTTTGTGTGTGTGTGAGTATGGTATAGGGCCTATACCTTAAGCCACTCTGTCAGCCCTGTTTTTTTTGTGTTGGGTATTTTTGAGATAGGTCTCGCAAACTATTTGCCCAGGCTGTGCACTATTTGTTTGAGCTGGCTTTGAACCATGATCCTCCTGATATCTGCCCCCTGAGTAGCTGGGATTACAGTCATGAGCCACTAGCACACAGATTTAGGCAGGGACCTTTTGAATATGTTTTTTTCCTTAATACTGTTTTATGTTCTTTAAATTGGTGTTCAGTCCATTGTGAGTTGCTAATTATTTCAGTTAGCTGTCATAATTTTTAAAAGTTGATCTTTAGAAATGAAAAGAGGAAGCCAGGGTGGAGGACGGGCCTGTAATCCTAGCACTTGGGAGGCTGAACCAGGAGGGTCAGGAGTTGGAGATCAGCTGGGCTACATAGTTGGACCTTGTCTGAATTTTAAAAAAGTGAAAAGAGGATAAAGGAAAAGGAGGAAGGAAGAGGCAGGTGCAGTGGCACATGTGTATTATTCTAGCTAGCCAGGAAGCAGAGGCAGGTGGATTGCAAGTTTGAGACCAGGCAATTTAGTGAGAAGCATGTGTCAAAAACAAGAGAGAGAGAGAGAGGAGAAGAGAGAGAGAGAGAGAGAGAGAG